TTCTCAACTTTGGCCAGAATTGAGTATTTGTGCAGCAAAAAACAAGCACAGGTTTCATATTAAAGAGATACATTTCATTCTTTATTTTTAGTTTAAGAACACTGTTAATGCACATATACAGGCCAACACACAAAACAAATATAATACATTTGTAACTTCTGTCCTATATTTGAGCCTGAATGTGCAAGGGTCCCCCGAGGCCTGAAAAATATTTCAAGGATTCCTCCAGGGTCAAAAGGTCGAGAACGGCTGTCTTAAACTATGCAAGTCATTCTATTTTTAAAAAACCTTTCCTATGTAGCTTTTTTCTTACAAGAAACCATACAACAACAAGAATGTAGACTAATTTTTACATATGAGAGATCAACAATCCAAAGCTTCCCCCCAACTTCTACTCCATCATGTATACATAATTCTATACATAATGGATCTGTTGTTAAAATATTACTGGAAAACGCATTGCCAATACAGGTAGTCCTTGCTTAACAACTGCCCTGTTTAGTGACCAATTGAAGTTACAATGGTGCTAAAAAAGTAACTTTATGACCAGTCCTCGCACTTACAACCATCACAATGTCCCTGAGGTCACATGATTGAGATTCGGGCACTTTGCAACTGGTGGGCATTTATGACCATTACAGCGTCCTGCAGTCACATGATCGCCATTTGTGCACTTCACAGCTGGCTTCCAACAAGCAGATTCAATAGAGAAGCCGGCAGTAAAATCCCAAGTTGCAGTTCCATGATGTCTCATTTAACAATCTGCAGTGATTTGTTTAATGACCGCAACAGAAGTGAGGTTGTAAGTCAATCCCGGTCCCGTGATGTGTCGTTTAACAACCACATTGCTTAATGACAGAGTTGCCAGTCCCAATTATGGTCGTTAAGTGAGGACTACCTGTATACTCAGAGGAACAGAAATCAGTAGGGAATATAAAACATACCTTGCCCCTTTCTTGGCCTGTACCAACCCCAAGGAGTGCAAAATTTTTTAACATTTCACAGCCTATTGCACCACAACCAACCTAAAAAAATCAAAGCATAACAATATTATAACGTTTCCAACCTTTAATTAGCACATTAAAAAAATTTTAAAAGCTCCAAATTGCTGGAGCCCTAAAAAGTAATGGAGATGCTAATTTTAGACAGCTTTTAGAAATCTGTAGTAAAGGCTAACAAGTATTCCACTGAAATGCATCAAAAGCAGTACAGATTATTGATCCATACTATACCACTATGATCTATACTTAGATAAATATGTTGTATGTGCTGTATAACTTACCATATGTTCTAATAGGTAGGCTTAAATTTCAATTAATGAACAGCACCATAATTTTTAAAATAGATGACCTCTAAATTTAATCCCTGTAGAACAGTACAACCCAAACTGTCTACGAAAAGTCATTTAGCATTCCATTTAAGAAATCCCCTATGATAGAGTTAATCTAGAAGTCATACTTACTAAGAAAACATTCAGATTCTTTAATTTCTGACACAAGGAGTCTCCAATGCACACTCTTAGGGCATCATATCTATCTCCCCTATAGAAGACAGAGGAAAAAATAGAGACATGTTTCAAAATTACTTCACACCTTGTGTACTCAGTTCCTAGAAAATAAGCCACATTTGAGTAACCCACAGGCTGTGTTAACATGCCACCCATGTTTTACTCTATTTACTGATATTTAAAATCAGTGCACGTGCCTTCAGATTATGTTGAATAGTGCTTAGAGCAGCCTTCTCCAAATTCTGTGTTGCTGTGTTGGCTAGAGATGATAACAAATTCTAATTCATCTGCAGGACCACAGAATGGGAATGAGCACTAGATTTAGACCTGGGAAAACTGTGATCACATATCTACTCAGTCCTTAAGTTAACTGAGTGACTTTTGTTTAGCCACCACTTAGCAATCTACTCTATTTTACAGATATTATGAGGAAAAAGAATTAATGCAACCAAAAAAGATTAATTAAATATTTACCTTGGAAGGAATTCTTCATCGTGGGCCTTTTCTAGAAATGTGACTAATTCTAATGCATCAATATACAGCTACAGAAGAAAAGAAATGCAGTGATCACAAATTACATCATAAAACAGCAAAGCCAGATTTCAAATAGGACTATATACTAGGGCTGTGCAAATGATTTTGAAAGAGCATTTTACCATGTGGAGCAGAGAATATGAAAGAATCCTCCTTAAAGCACTACATCTTTTTTCCAGCTATGAATGGTGCTTTAGAAATAGCTCCCAGCTGTCTCTGCATGCATGTGTGTGCCCATCAGGTTTGCTTTCCTGGGAAAAAAGCAAACCAAATAGCTGGCCATGCACATGTAGGCAGAGACAATCAGGAGCAGCTTCCAAAACAGGTATATGAACCTGGAAAATGATACATATATTTGAAACAGAAGTACATTCATACGTGCAGTCACATGTTGTGAAGTGCCTCTTTTGAAGCATCTGCAGAGCCTACTGTTGTATGGCAATATAAAATCTTTAAAATATAATTAGAATAAGACAGGAGACTAGAGTAGTGATTATTAGACTATGTCACCTATTAGACTATAGATGAGGAAAGCTATCATATTTGTAAATCCTCTTCCACATAAAAAATCTTTTTATAAGTAGATCTTATAACTAAAGGACATAAATTTCTCTCTTCAGTGGGTCAGTAGATTAGATTATTTTAAGATGGGAAACTGAAAACAATCTGCTGTAAGCTTTATTGTATTTTCCATTATTTCAGTTTCTGTACCCTGAAGATCAACTCTGGTCCACTTCAACATTTTCTGATTCCCTTGCAAGAAGCAGCAGCAGAAACAAACTGGGTTTCATGATATACTATATCTGAAATGAAATGTTTAGTCAAGACACCTAAGAACACCACTCATAGCATTTGTATGTAAACATTTAGGCACCCTTAAGTGAACAAAAGCTGACATAAGCTCTACCCAGTACAAAAATAAATACAAAAATATCTTTTGTATGTAACTGTATTTACATACACCTATTTATAACTGCAATACCTTGATAAGACAGGGATTAACACCAAAGGAGATAAAGCAGGGATTAACACCAGACAAACAATCAAGCAGAAAACAATACCCTGATGAAGGAATTACCAAGGAGAAAACCACATCCCCACCAACACTGGCAGAGCAAGCTACTGTATATAAGCAGGGAGCAAACCCCACACTCACTAGCACTGATGATATTACCTAGTTGGGTAATGAAACATCTGCAAGCAAACAACGAAGCTCAGAGGGAACCAAGAACTCCACGCCTTGATAAGGCAGCATTTCCCGGGCTCTCACCAAACTAGTTTAATGCTATTTCCATCTCTGCATTCTTGGACTTTTGTGGTTATTTAAGAAAATGTATTCTTCACATACAAGTTATAGATGAACAATGCAATTGTAAATTAAGGTAATGCTTATTTCAAAAATAAATTCCATTAAAGGTTATTAATTTCACTTTCATCAAAAGATATTTATATAAAATATATTGGTATTTGTTCCAGAATTCTAAATGTAATCCACTCCTACATGCAAGGAACAACAAAAAAGAAAAGAAAAATAATTAAACAGGAATTATTCACCACCTCCTTCATCATGCTTTGGCACATTGTCTGAATGTAACCAGTGCTCACATAGCATTTTTTCTACATACTTGCTTCACCCAGTGTGTTAAGGCATGGTTTGTTTAATCACACTTTATTAAATCACATTTTATTGAATTAAGCAAAATCCGCTGGGTTTTGGAAAAGTACATTACATTTTGGGGAGCCAAGTTCTTTGAACAGTGTAGCAGAAACTGTACTCCAAAAACAGTGGGTAGGACAACAAACCTTATATTTCATTTCATTTACCTTCAAAATCAATACAAATAAAAAGTACTATTTTCCAGTCATGTATTTAATAATTTTTTCTTTATGTCATAACAAGAATCTTGGGAGGGCTGCATTCAAAACTTTTGGGAGCTATATGAGCACTGATGCCTCAGGCCATGCATTCTTCTCAAAAATCATGGTATATAATGGCTAGATGCCCACAGCACACTAAGCCAAAACCAAACAAATCACATTATACTTAGCATTTTGTTTGAAACCAGTCATAGTCATGAATCACTTAATTCAGAAGAAAAAAACCTTACCCATTGCTGCAGGGGAGAAAATTTTCCTGTCACTGCTTTTAAGACTTCCTGACTAGCAATACCACCAAGTGCAGCTGTGAGAGGGGCTAAAGAGCCCTGAGCCATCCTCGATAGCCATTTCACAATGTCTTTATTTACTTGAGGCTGTAATTAAAAACAAAAACTATTCCAGATATGAAAACAGTTAAATTCTATAAAACTAGTAGCTTTCCAACAACTGGTCTAGATTTCATTTTCACTACTGTAATCATAAACTGCCAAAGAGATCTCATATTAGAAAGCAGCCATGCAACCCTAAAAATGAATAATTGGGCATAAAAACAACTCTCTGGCACAGCCCATCATGCTACGGATAGAAAACTAGATTGTTTTTGAATTAATTAAATAGTATAATCAAACTATATCAGAGGAAACAGAAAAAGGAATTTTGCTGCAAGGGCTCCAATATTTTGGCATACATTGGGGCAAAACAGCAGCATTAATGCCATAACTGTAAAATCCTAACAGCCATATGGTATATGATACATGTAGAAGCACTTAATTGTAGAAACAATATTGCATCCAAGAGTTTGAAGAACAGACGCAGCAATAAGCCCTGTTCTCCTGAAGCAGCTGCATGGATATGTTAGTGCAAGAGCTAATAAAAGCAAGAAGAAACTAATTAGAAAACTTAAGTGATTCTGTTTTATTATTTGCATGCATTTAGCCTAATCCTATTCAGCCTTTCTGAAAATTATCATCTTAACAAGTAAGCCAGGGATTGACAAAGCCTGTCAATGTATATTGACAAATACACACACATGCACAGGCACTCCATAGGAGGAAAGTAGTGTTAATCTATGGTAACCAAAAATCAGGAGTTTCATGTCTTTTAATAGCATTTGTTAGTCTGAAGAGGTTCTCCTGTTTTTCACAAGTGTATACAGAAATACTATGCAAATTATGTACACATAGGCGCTGTAGGAGTGGTACTTACGACCAGTCCTTGAAGTAATCATAAATAGTAATCATACCTGCATTTTGCATTCATTTGTAAATAGTAATTATTTAGCCAACATGGTGCATCACAGTCACAGAATTTTCAAACATACATGCTAGTCTCTCATCTACTATCTAGCAAAGTGGGAAGTAGGATTATTCTCTAATGATGGGCAGTCTACACTAAACTGCACTGTTTTATAACTATTACTGAAGTTTAAAGTGCTTACCTTGCCTTCCACGGTTTTGCTTAAGGACAGGGCTATCTTCAGCATTTCCTCAGCATCCTGAAGGCATCTAGAGCCCAAACAAAAATGACATTGAAACTTTATACTGCTCCTAAGATGAAAGCTTTTATATAATATAATATATATAACTCTGAAATAAATAAATTTTATATACA